TGCCATGATCGAACAAATGCACCAATGGACTCATCTGGGAGTAAACAAATTGTTCCAGACTGCCCTAAGGACAAAATATCACATCATAGGGCTGAGACAGTTAGCAGAACAGATAGTTTATAAGTGTGTGTGCCATGTCAAAAGGTAAATGCTTGTAAAAATACCACGGGACCTGGCAAAAGACCAAGGGGAGACAGACCTGGGGTATATTGGGAAATGGACTTACAGAGATCAAGCCAGGTAAATATGGTTACAAGTATCTCCCAGTTTTTGTAGACACCCTCTCTGGATGGGAGAAGCATTCCCAGCAAAGCAGGAAACAGCCACCGTCGTGGTCAAGAAAATCCTGGAAGAAATCTTCCCATGCTTCGGGGTACCCAAGGTAATTGGGTCCGACAATGGGCCCACCTTCGTTGCCAAGGTAAGCCAGGGAGTGGCCAAATACCTAGGGGTCAATTGAAAATTACATTATATCTACAGACCCCAGAGTTCAGGGCAGGTAGAAAGGATGAACAGAACTCTAAAAGAGGCCCTGACTAAATTAACCATGGAGACTGGCGTAGACTGGGTGATGCTCCTTCCCTTGGCCCTGTTTAGAGCTAGGAACACCCCCTCCCGGTTCAACCTGACCCCCTTTGAGATTCCCTATGGTGCCCCTGCCCCCTTGACTTTACTGGGGGACGCCTTTAAACCCACTTGCCTCAGTAACAGTGACTTATATGCCAGGTTAAAAGGACTCCAAGCCGTACAGAAAGAAGTTTGGACACAGCTGGCAGCTGCTTATGAGCCTGGGACCCCCAAAGTTTCTCACCAGTTCCAGGTTGGGGGCACTGTATGGTGACACCACTCCCAATCTCTGGAACCCTTTTGGAAGGGACCTTGCCTGATGCTCCTGATGACACCAATGGCTGTGAAGGTAGACGGGATCTCCACTTGGAGCCTGCACCACCAGAGGACCAAGGATCAAAAGATGCCACCTGGAAAGTCCAGGGTTCCAAGGAGCACCCCTTAAGACTGAAAATTGTTCGGACGTTCTAAGTGTTGTAAGATGAAAACTCTCTTGCTTTTCTTATGCCTAAAGATCTTTTCCCGGGGCCCAGGAGCTAGCAGTCCACATACCCCTTCCTCACACAGCCAGCTGTGCAACCGGACTCTTAACGTGAACAAGTGGTCTGGTGACACATATCTGTTGCCCCCTCCAGAAAGATGGTGGGCCTGCGCTACTGGGGTGTCTGTCCTCTTAGGCTTAAGATTGGGAACAGCTGAGGCAGCTATAAGAGCTTCAGCTCTGGCTATTCAATATCAGGAATTAAACCAACAGAAAACAGTATTTCATGATTGATATACGCACCAAAAAAAACAAAAAAAACCAAAAAAAACGGGGGAATGTGGAAGTAGAGATAACCCCCAACCTTTTTGGTAAACAATACCAGATACTTAGGACCTTCTATTATTAGGTGCTTAAGACCTTCCGTCGCCAGAAGATTAGGACTTTCCGCTGCCAGGGAAATGGGACTCATGTCATTAGACTTTCCAAAGAGCCCGAAGTTCACCCTGTCCCAGGAAGGGAGTATGCTCACCTGATTGCAGGAACAGCATGACACCTTATCTTTGGACACCAAGGGAGGAAAGACGGGGGAGTGGACGTTGGTCAATACCTCAGTCTTTCCTTTGCCCGCCAAAAGCTAAAAGCCCAATGGTTTTAAAAATTGCTTAAAGTGGCCAATAAACGGCATACAACCCAGCCTGTTACCAAAGCCTGCCTACCAAACTGTATAAAAGATGCTTGAGTTAAGAGCTCGGGCCGCTCCTGTCCTGAAAACGGGGCGACCTCCAGCATGCCGGAAATAAAAACTCTTGCTTTTGCATCGATCTCTGCCTCCTGGTCTTTGTGAGATGAGCCTTCCCATCAAGTAAGAATTGTGCTTTTGGCCCGGTCTTACACTTTCTTCTCCCTTTCTCTCTCTCTCTATTTTCTGATGTATTTCTATGGCCTTGTAAATATTTTTAGAGTACGTATTTTGCTGATAAATGAACAGTTTTATTTATATGAAAATGTCTTTGTTTTACCTTTATTCTTGAAAGATAGGTTTGCCAGCCCCAAATTTCTAGTTTGTCTTTGGTTTTCCCTCAGTTCTTTGATGGTGATGTCTCTTCTGGCTGACGGGGAGAACCAGCTACATTCTAGCCCAGTTGTTTTTAGTTCAGATGATTTGTGTTTCTTCTGTGGCTACTTTTAAGACCATTGTTTGTTTTTAACGTCTGAAGTTCCAGGGCCGTATGAGTAGATGTGGATCTCTTTTTATTCATACTGCTGTGTATTTTGCTTTAGCCAGAATCATTTTAAGGAATGCTTCCCTCCATTTACTCTCTTTTCATCTTCTAGGAATTCGATTAGACTAATGTTAAACCTCATCTGTCCACCACATACTCTGTGGTAGGCAGAAGAATGGCCCCACAAATAAGCCTTAAACCCCAGAACCTTTAGATATGTGACATTACACAGCAAAAGGGACTTTGCAGATATGTTAAAGGCATGGACCTTCAGATGGGGAGATTATCCGAAATTATCTGGGTGGGCCCAGTCTAATGACATGAGTCTTCATAAGTGAAAAAAACTGAAGAAACGTGGTTCAGATGGAGTGCTGAATTTCATCTACAGTAAGTTCTGCATCTAGTGAGATAATTCCCGGTTTTTATACTTTAGGTGATAAAATGCATTAAAAGATTTAAAGTTTAAATATTCTTGCATTCTTGGGATACCTACCTGGTCAAGATAATTAATTTGTAAATATCAGTGGATATAGTCTACTAATATTTTTCTCAGGATTTTCCTAAATCATTTAAAAATGATTTTCCTATAATGCTTTTTTCTTATTTATTTTCTAACTGGCTTTAGAGTTAATGGTATTAATGCCTAATAAAATGAGTTGGTTGGCTTTCCCTATATTTGCCCATTCTCTTGAAATATTTCATATAAATTCAGTAACCTTCCTTGAAGATTTGGTAGAACTTTCCTTTAAAAACAATATGAATGTGGTTGAAGGGAAATTGAATTTTTATAGCTGCTTTAACTTTTTTACTTGTAGTCTTTTCCATTTATATATGTATATTTTTATAGTTTTAAGATTGTTTAAATCTCTACCCTATCAGCAGTGGCATATTTATCTGTCATAACACTCTTTCTTCTTAACTAAAATTGTTTAATTTCTCTTTTTAAAGAAACAGCTGCTCTTGGCAGGTGGGGCCTTCAGCAGTGGCAGCCACCAGGTCAGCCTCAGTAAATGGCAAGGCAGTTGCTGTGTCTGTGCAGTCTCCATCCCAGCCCCCTTGGCCACTTTCTACAGGGGCTCCTGGAGCAAGCTCTGTGAGGCTACGATCCCATCCATCAAGTCATCTCGCCCACCTGATTATAGGAGCCCCACCTGCTTGGATACTCCCTGCTGGGCATCCACCTTCAACCACTATCTTCACGTGTTCTGCACTGCATGTGGCAAGAAGTCAAGGCATATATCTCTCCTCCACCCCCCTACTTTCCAACTTGATTTGGAAATCAATAGCCACACACTAGCCTCTGCCCATGGTTCATCTGCACTCCTGAGGCATCCTTTCACACCCTCCACCTCCCATGGATCTGTTAGGGTTTGGATTCCTATTTCCTGTCTTAACAGCCATTTCCAAAGCTGTTCTGCTGTCAGCTGCAAAGCTTACCGCTCTTGTTTTTTTTTTTTTTAAAGATGACCGGTAAGGGGATCTTAACCCTTGACTTGGTGTTGTCAGCACCACGCTCAGGCAGTGAGCCAACCGGCCATCCCTATGTGGGATCCGAACCCGTGGCCTTGGTGTTATCAGCACCGCACTCTACCGAGTGAGCCACGGGCCGTCCCTTACCACTCTTGTTTTTGATTCTCTTCTTTATATCTGAGTCATAGGCATTTATTTCCTGGGAGTTTTAAAAATTGCACTGATTTTTTTCAATGCAGCATTTCTAAGGGTTTCACTAGGAGGAATTATATGTTAGAATTGTTTCAAAAAACCATGTTTGTATACCCAAATGAAGGACAACATGCATAGAGAAAGGTGGACAAATCATAAGTGCACAGTGGATTTTCACAAGGTGAACACTTGGAGGAAAAAACACCCACACGAAGGAACATTTCCAGCTCCAGGAAACACTCTTGGATCCTATTCAGCCATAAACCACCCTTCCCCACCCTAGAGTAACCATATCTTGATTTTTAATACCATACGTTAGTCTGATTGGATTATACAGTCAACAGCACATCACCAGGTCTCATCCATCGTGCTGTGTGTGGTTGTGGCTGTTAGGTGTTCCACTACAAAAAGAGCTCACACTCCTTGTCCTTCCCACTGTGGATGGACATTTGTGTTGTATCCAGATTTTACAAACTGTGCTGCTATGAATCATGTGCTCATACGTTTCGGCACACGTGCACCATTGTGTTGGTATAAGTAGGAGTGCAACTGCTGGCTCACAGCGTGTGTGAGTGTTGGGCTTGTCTCTCCAAACACAGGTTTCTACTGAGCAAAAAAAAAAAAAAAAAAGAAGAGGGTAAATTTCATTATTTGGAAATTATTCAGCTAATAAATGAGGAAAGAAAGAGAGACTGAAACTATATCTTTTACAGCCCCTAATGAATTAACAGATAGAGCCATTTGTATTAGTCCATTTCTGTTGCTTCTATCAAAATACTTGGAAGTGGGTGATTCACAAAGAAAATGAAATTTATTGTTTACAGTTTCTGAGGCTGAGAAGTCCAAAGTCCAGCCTCATTTGGTGAGGCCTTGGTGGTGGCGACAGTGACCCAGAAATCTCGCATGGCAGAAAATGGTGGAGTAGACAGAGCGAGAGATAATTCCTCATGCACTCTCTTTTTAAAGCCATCAGAGCAATGCCTATGACCACCATTTTAAATCCATTCACTAGGTCCTCAGAATCTAATCATCTCTTCAAGTCTCCACCTTGCAATTACCATAATAGGATTTCCCACCCTCAACAGTTACAGTGGGGATCAAGCATCAATGAGATGCGGGG